GCCTTCACTGCTATATTCACCCATAGGTGTATATACCAACATAAAAATGTAAATCTGAACCAATGAGCTCGCTGGATTTATTATATTCACTTGTGTAAAAATACTAATGTATATTTTTATTAATAAAACTGGAAAACAAAGAGAAGAAACCTAAAAACAAGGTGGGGGGAAATCTAATGTGTTTACAACTCCTGGGTGGACGGCTTAATGCCTAACAAGCCTTGCGACCCAATTGATAAGGTAGCTGGTTGATCGAATTAGAATTTAGAAGTTAATTTTTTTGTGGAAGGAGGAAAAGCCAGAGAACCCAGAAGAAAAACCCTTGAAGCACAGGAGAGGACCAACAAACAACTCTACTCACATACGACACCGGCAGAGCTTGAACCYGGGTCGCAATAGTGAGAGGGGGCGCATTAGCAGTGCACGCCACCCTTGCTTCCCTGGAAGAGAATCAACAAAAGAAAGAAATTTATAAAGAAATTCATATGAAAAGTAAAATCTTTCTTTTTTATCTTGTGTTCTTACCATTCAGCCGCTAAAGATTTAGACACTCGTTCCAAGAGACACATATCGGACTCTGAAGACATCAGACAAGAAGGGACAGTACCAAAGAAAGTGCGTCGACAGTTCACAGAGYCACAGAAAAGGGCACTTTTTGCCATATTTAAGGAAACAAAGAAACCAACAAAGGAAATGCAGAAAGCTCTGGCAGAAGAACTGGGGTTGGACATTAATACGGTAGCCAACTTTTTTATGAATGCTAGACGTCGGTATGTATCAGAGTAGAATCATATCTCTATATAAAAGGATTAGTAAGTTATCAAATCTGTACCAATTACTATAGTTTAACCAAATACTGTAGATACTTGTATGTACTGTGTACTGAGGGTTCAGGAAAATCCCAGAAATTGAGCAGATTTTACAGTGAACTCAGAAAACATGTCATGTACAGTATTATTAGTTACAGGCCATGCCATTAGGTAAGACCTGGATTGGACATTTCTTGTGCTATCAGGAACCCAGGAGTAAAATTCTGTCACTTTTTTCTCAATCCCAGAAAAAWTGGGAATAAGAAGTGAGCAACAGGATTTTACCCCTAGGCTGCCGAGGATGCAGACACTGTAGAACACACAGTACCAGGTATTTTAAATAGGGAAAAAGTTGTCATGACTTTTTTTAAATATTCAAACATTGATTATAAGGACGATCATTAACTGACCTTGTGTGAAATACATTATGACATTATGATACAGCTTTCAYCATAAAAGTTATTGATTTGAAGGTCTAAAGATATAATATAAAACCTGTCATCTTTTTAACAATAGTTTGATAGATCATTTACACTTACAAGTCACATGACCCTAACCCCTTAAACCAGTATCCTCTATAAACCATTGTACCAGTTGTGTCTAAATGAATAGAAATGCAGCCTTGATGTCTGTTTTTATTGGCAATTGTATATGAATATSGGCTGGACAGCAAGCTCTGGCTAGCCGGCATACAGCCCAATGTAAAGTCAGGTTACTTGCAAAGTAGCTCTCGCCTTCTAGAAAATCTTCTTTCATATCCTAATAAAATGAGACATATAGGTAGGTGTTTTCTTACTAAGATCAAGGCACTCTTTCCATTTCTAGGATTCATTTTGCCACAACTGCCTCATTTATAGAGGGTAGGGTCACTAGACCTATTAGTGTGAACGGCCTATCGCTTCTGAAAAGCTGAAATGCAAGGATCATAAGTCGAAGTAGGTTGACATTCAGTTTTCTTCAGAAACAATTTGGAACATTATACAAGTGTGCTTTTACTTTGTATCACTTATGTCTTTTTGACAGGAGTGAATCCAAAGGATTACCCCTTTTCACATTAACAGCTTGTTTTTAATTTGTTTTTGTGTTTAGTGGGATTAATGGGAAAATCTTGATGATGCCCTCTGTTATATGACAAGCTCCTTGAACCGATCAACATCAAATAAGACTTGGGTGGGAATACACATTTTCAGAAAATTTCTAAACAATTATATCTGTACAATAAAAAGGAAAAATTTCTGCACATCTCATATCGTAATATGTATATATCGATAAACAAGTTTCAGAAATTTCTGAACATCTGTTGTCGTAATATATATATACACCTACTTGCAAGAACGTTGTCATACGAAAATAGAACATTAGTGATTTAGTGGGATAGGAATTATATTAAAAAACAAAAGAAGATCACTGAAGGTGAACTTTTTCTTTCGTCTTTTAATGTATTCCTTTCTCACTAAATTACTAATGTTCTATTCTTGTATGTCAACGTTCTTGCAAGTGGGTGTATGTGAAACATTCAACTTTCAGAAATTTCCCCCTCACCCCACGTTCCCTTTTTTTGTTAGGTCACATTTTTCTCGCGGGCCCTTGGTCGAAACAGGAACCCCAAAACCGCGATTCTTCCTCTCAAATCCATCAAAAGAACGCCTGCTCTGCAGGCTACAATGCCATATGTCTTGTGCTTCATTTCCTCTAGATATGATTCATTGAAGCCTGATTACAAAACATAATACAACACAAAAGCTAAACTAAATTAACTTATTATGCTATTGATAGTGCTAATATTACTAACCTTTGAACATGTTTCACTGTCTACTCTCTCAGCTACTATCTATCATATATCATATACTTTATATTTAAAATAAAAACTTACAAATACACAAGTCGTCTTTTTGTGCTTGGTGAGAAGGTTTGTAAAAGGTGAGGTGAATTCCAGGGACACGGTGAAAACGTGGTCATGTCTGTCGTTTGATGGGAGGATTTAAAGGAAAAAAGTTATAGTTAATCAGGGGTGGCGTGAAGGGATCAGAATAAAATAAAGTAAAGTAGCGCAGTTTCGCAAAAAGTATGTCTTATCCGCCTCTAAAAACTGAAACAAATACGTTATCAATTCGATCTTACTTATTTCATAWAAAGATATGGCAGGGGGGTCTAAATCCAATGATGGGAGGGGGAGTGCCATAAAATATAGAACATAGAATGTTAGAACGGCCTAAATAGCTCCGGAATTCAGGCCAGGAGTACCACTCTATTATCTTTAGGAGACTGATTAACTTACTTCGCAAAAAMATAAACKACGATGGGACAAGTAGGAAAGGGTAGGTAAAAAGCTAGTTGTGGTAAGAAGAGCGAAAAGGTGCTAAAGGCACATGCAATCACAATGCAATTTTATTTAACCATTAAGTCCTATATTGCTACTTAGTATCATTTTAATAATTAATCATTTTATCGGAAAGTTTGGACTGCCGGGCATTTAGTGTATTTGAGACCGCGACCGGCAGTGTTCATGTGACATGAACCAAGTGCTCGGTATTCTATGCCGAGTAAAGACAAACAATCCTTATTAGAAGCAGTGTAGAGTGCAAGAAGCGCTTCATATTCCTCGATAAATTTAGACTAGTTTGGCTTCATTAACGTTGGTAATTTATCGTATTTTTTTGCGAAAATTGCGACTGGCAGTGTTGGCGAAAATATTCTAAGTGACATGAACCAAGTGCTCCGTATTCTATGTCGAGCGAACACAGACAATCTGTTTTCGAATCAGTCCAGACTACAGGAAGCGCTTAATATACCATAATAAAGTTAGACTAGTTTGATTTCATTAGCTGTAGCCAGTTCTCGTTTTTTTGGTGAAAGTTTGGACTGCCGGGCAAGTAAGTAAGCTTATTTTCTGCTCGCCTTAACCAGTTTTCAAGTCTGTTTTTTGGTCTTGATTTGTCCTAAATCTGCAGATTTTCGATTTCCATGAAAGACATTCGAGGTAAATTTCATTAAACTTGATATTGTATTGGATTATCTGTAGTTATCTTTCGTTTTTCTTAAAGTAAAAGAGATTCAAAGCTAGCCTAATATAAAACTGTCGGCCTTGGAAAATTCTTCCAAGAACAAAACTATAGTAACCCCTGAGGGTGGTGGTGAGTTGTGTACAAAATTCCTAAGTGGGAGAGTATACTCGCGCAAAAAACAAAAACAAAAACAAAACAAAACAAAACCAAAAATCAAACAAACAAAAAAAACAAATAAAACAATGTACTGCATTTGGATTCGATTTCACTGCATGGTTTTTATTATGGGAGAAATTATCTTCATCTCGAATAAAAAAATATTGAAGATTTTCCCCCCGATCTTGTTTTTACCTTTCAGTTTCATTCAAATTGTTCTCCCTGTGACTTCCGTATTGGGAGCTCCGCTTTTAGGCAGTGCCTAAATATATATATTAACTAGGCCACTCGTCCTTACTAGACCATTAATCCTTACTATGCCAATCCTCCTTACTAGGCCGTTCGTCCTTACTAGGCCATTCGTCCTTACTAGGCCATTCGTCCTTACTCGGCCACTCGTCCTTACTAGGCCATCCGTCCTTACCATATCATTTGTCTTTACTAGAACATTTCGACCTTACTAGGCTAGCTATTCGCCCTTACTAGGACACTCGTTCTTCATTTTTAAATTCATCCTTCATAGGATATTCGTCCTTACTAGGCCATTTGTCCTTACTATGCAATTTATCCTTGCTAGCCCATTCGTCCTTACTATGCTACTCGTCCTTACTAGGCTATTCGTTTTTACTAGGCCATTTGTCCTTACTAGGCTGTTCGTCCGTACTAGGCCATTCGTCCTTAMTATGGCATTTGTTATTTACTATGCAATTCGTGTTTATACTAGCCTATTCGTCCTTAATACTTGGCCATTTGCCTTTGATTATTACGCCATTCGTCCTTACTAAGCTATTCGTTTTTACTAGGCCACTTGTCCATACCGAGCTATTCGTCCTTACTAGGCCATTCCTCCTTACTAGGCCATTCGTCTTTACTAGGCCATTCGTCCTCACTAAGCGCTTCGTCCTTACTAGGCCATCCGTCCTTACTAGGCCATTTTCCTTTTATTAGGCCATTCGTACTTACTACGAGGCCATTCCTCCTTACTAGACCATTCGTCCTTAGTAAGCGCTTCGTCCTTACTAGGC